TCAAATAGCAACTATGGGGGGGGGGGTCATTTTTAAAAATATTTATTTTAGTTTGTTTATAAGCAGCTAAATTCAACATTGTGCTCTAGTTCTTTCAGTTGGTCTCCTTTCTTAAGACAGATTCCTCTGGTTTCTTATTTCCTCTGTTCTGGCAAAAACTTAAAAATTCCACCACATTGTAGTCTAGTGACAATGGTTGTACCCAAGTGAAAAGCCTGTTCCCCACGGGGCAAGGGCAGTCAGTCACCCTCCAGGAAACCTCAAGCCTAAACTTTGTTTCCAGTGGCCATAGGCCTACACAAGGAATTCAGGATTCACTCTTCACTACAAATACAGTCTGGCTGGGTAGAGGGGAGAGGAGTAGATGACACAGGGGGTGGGTTAAGCTCAACACCAGAGGGTAGAGATTAGTAAGGATCGGTAGGAAATCTTTCTCTAATTATCATAGTACCACCCAATCTTCCTTAGGTCAGCAAAAATCATCAGACTACACAGGAGCAGTAAGGAGACCAGTCAACCTGCTATGCATAGAACAACCACAACTATAGGATATGCAAAAAAAGAAAGCTTCTTAGGGATTATTTATATTAAAGATTAGAGGAGAATGCTGCTAATCAAATACATACGGGTCTATTCACTAAGCTGCCGAGGGCAGCCGAGTGAACAACCGACCCCAAGTGAAGTGAGCCGAACACTGTTCGGCTATTCACTGCAGGCTTATACGGCTGATTTCAGCCGTATATCGGCTGAGATCAGCCGTACATTGGCTTGCTGCGCATGGCTTCTGGTCGGCCGAACATGCTCAGCATGTTCGGCTGACCCGAAGTGCAGAAGGAGTTCGACTCAGCCGATCCAACATCTGGATCAGATGAGCCGAACCTCCGGCAGGCTACTCACTACTGTTCGGCCTATTCTTATAGATGCCGAACAGCAGTAAGTGAATAGCCGAATGCCGCTGAGTGGCATTCGGCTCGGCTGTTCTGCTCGGTCCCTCAGAGGGACCGAGCAGAACAGTAAAATAGTTTAAAAAGTCAAAAAAAGTAAATAGAAAACGATTGTGCGGAGCTAGCAGTGACAGCTAGCTCCGCCCAATAGTTTTCTAATGTCCGGCGCTGTCAAAAAAAAAAGAAAAAAAAATCTCCCTGGCGCTCTGGGAGCCTTCCACTCTCGGCCGCCCAGGAGGGAAACACTGATTTTTCTTTTTTTTCTTTATTCTGATACGTAGCCGTGTCAGAAAAAAAAAACACGTTTTTGCCCATTGGAATGCATTGCTAGATTCCTATTGGCTATTTCAATTTGCAATAGCCAATAGTAAACTAGCATTGTACCCGCCCTCTGCTGATGGACCTGACAGCTGGGGCTCCCCCAGCTGTCAGAAGCAGGCTGTCGGCCAGCCAGCTTCAGCTTTCAGCGCGGCTCAGCCGAGCTGATGCATAACGGCTAGATCCTTTGGCAGCTTAGTGAATAGACCCCATAGAGTGTATATTAGCACAATGGATAGATATGTGCTCAAAAAACTCTTGGATATACATTTTACCTGGGGTGGGGCTTTAAGTACAGTGATACATTTTATGTAATACTTGAACATTTGTATTACCAGCCAAAGACACGTTCTCTAAATTAGAAGTATTTCCAAGCACTCTTACAGGCAATGCAGAATCAAAGAAGTAATCAAAGCTACTGATAACAACACATACTTAAATTGGAAAACCTAAACAGTAACTATCATTCATACACGGCACACTTTGTATTCAGTTGTTGTATGCAGTCAGTGCTGTTAGTGTAATGTTGAAGACAAATGAGGGCCATTAAGGCCTGGTCAATAGGGATACAAATATTACTTTTGAAGTGCCGCTCCTTGAGTCATTTATATATATTTTAAACCCATCTCAGAAGTCACGGAGATAGATGGAGGAGCAATAAAAGAAGCTAAAATATGGATTAATTGTTTCTGAGGTACAATTGAATTCTCTTTCTTTTATCTATTTCCAAGGATGGTTCTTATTTATATTATATAGAAAACTGTAGGCTTTTGAAAAAGCTTATTTTATTATGCCTATAGCCACATAATGAACAAAATCACATCAACAGAAATGATAAAATTAAAAAAGGATTATGTTGCTAAACATGATTAAGTTCATAGTAAATATCCTTGTGTGTGCATTTTACAAATCTATTCTGTTTAAAGGGAGTTGTTAGGTTTAATAAAAAGAACCAATCATCAATGGCATTTGTAACACATTTTGAATCACATTTTTTGTAATGTTTTTTAAGTTTTTGGACAAACATACAGCAACATTCAAAAATCTATACTTTATATTGTCTATTCTTTTTAAAGCCATAGAATGAACAGGAGAGTGTATGTAAAATCCACAGAGCAAAATATGGTATATTCTAACAAAGTTATATCTAATCACAAGAACAAAAATTGTATATATTGCAGCTTACCGGTCCTTAGATGTGGTAGCAGCATTCATTTTCTTTTTTCAGACTTTTTTTTCCCTTTATTTTCAAAAAAAAATGTATTGCAGGCAGAGAACACAGCACATTATCAGCATTATCAGATTTCTGGCAGGTTTAATAGGTATTTTTGCACTTATTGAACAGATTTAACAAAAATGTTTTAATGGTACAGATGCACAAAAAAACTGTCATAAAACAAATGTGTTGTCAGGGTCTACTGACAATGTCACCTTTCTAAAGAGCGCAGAGAGTGTCATTTGTCAGGCCAGAGAATGGTCATCCTCATGGGAGCCTTAAGTCGTGTATACGCATCATCCTGCGTGCTCAGCAAAAGAAATAGAACAGATTCCTCATATGCGTTGATGGAAGAATCCCCCACTGTTTGCATTGTAATCTGACAGTGGCCGCCAGGCCTGAACCGGGCCTGCAGCCAGTTGGCTGCCAGCTTGGTTTGGCTGAGAATTTTCCAACCTGCTTCTTTGATCAGCTGATCAAGGGATGCTGGTCTGAAGGGTGCCAACCGTGGCACTTACTGTGCGAATTTCATCAGGAACAGGCAGAAATGTGTACCTTGTGTGCCCTACTTTACAAAGGACACCGGGCTGAAAGCAACAATTCAGGTTCTAACAGGTGCCTATGTCTGACTAGGTATTTAAAACTTCTTACATGATCCTATTCACACTTGTCCATTTTCATGCAGCAAAACTCATGCATTTTTCTAAATGAAGATGCTTTACAAGAATAATTTTCGTTCTCACCAATGTGGCTGTTTCACATCTACTGTATGTCCTGCAGTTTAGTGTAAAAGAGAAACTATATAGGTCAATTCACTCCTGTACATGTGTGTTACCACACATGCTGCATCACACAGCCACACAGAATGGAATTAGATTTCTACTTGAAATGCATTTATATTTAAATTTTTAAGTAAAAACATAGTATACAAAACTTTAAGAGAATGTTCACACTTGCACTTGTCTGTTTTCATGCAGTAAAACACATGCATTGTACTGCATGAAAACGGACAAGTGTGTCCTTAAAGTGTGTTTCCACTATTGCAGTCAATTGTGTTCCCATTCACTGAAAAATTATTTGTTTAATTTTTTTTTACCTTTTAGATGTTTTGTTGTAGTAGGCAAAATGGATGAATCCAGGTTTTCTTAGCACCTTCACAGTGATCTGTCCTTATACAAAGACTAGGGAATTGATTTTGAGGATTGTGTTTCTCTCATTCACTTCTTTAGCATACAGTGCAGAAGCTGGGGTTATAATCCCTTAACCCTTTGTTAGGAAAGGCAGTTTTCAAATATACTTTACAATTTATATGACCAACCCCCTCACCACTCTCAACCCCTCCTAACATTACAAAGAAGGAGAGAAGCAAGTAGAAATTGTAACCCTTAAGAAGGCAAGAAACCCAAGTAAAAGCAATTTAAACTGCAAGAAGAGTTTTAGAAATATGTATATATAATAAATATGGGGAACATGTCATGAATATAAAATAGGTGTTATCCCAATTTGGCTGAGAAAGTAGAAATACACTTTAAGTTTTTTAAACCATGGTTTACTCAAAATTGAAATAATATATGTATGCAGGTGCACATGGTGCATGCACACACATTACACTCATTATTTATATGAATATAAAGTTGGAAGAAATACTGCACATTAAAAGGACTGCACTTTATTAGGAGGAATATATTAATATCAACATGCAGGCGCATGTTAAGTTGGATGCATGTAATATTTAATATTGTACACATTATTTTTGAAGAATCACAGTAATAGCTGTATGAGTGCACTGTAGGAGGAATAATTTGCACATAATATCATTGAACAAACGCATGTTTAATAAAAAAATTTACATATAATTTTATTGATTGATTATTTACACTTATATATGGTTTATGGATAAATCACAGGAATATTTATAGATGTTGGCACTTTAGGGAGGATTGTATACGAGAATATCACACCGGGTGCTTTATCGATAACTGTCCAATGAACAGGGAGATGATTCATGAAGCAGTAAAATAAACCAGGGAGTAGTAGAGTGTTCCTCCCATTCACGCCTGAGTATTTTATAGCTCAGGTGCTTAACAGGAGGAATCCCATTGTTTTCACTGGTCTTTCCTTTTGTAGCAAGATGCCTGTTGAGAGAGAAATAATAGAGCTTTTTTGGGGGGCATAGTCGTGCATTTTTGCTACAATAGACTTTAATAGGAGCATATGAAAAACATGAGAGACAAAAAATGTTCATGCATTTTCTTGCCTAGTAAATAGGTTTCCATTGGCTAAAAATAATAATAAAGTAGAAACACAAAAACACCTGTACAGTGTGTAAATATTGTACCTTTACAATGCATAATATGTACATACTGACTTTTTTCTAACCTCATTTGTTTTCTTTCAGTTTGTTCACAGTTTGCCAAGGGAGTGTATGCCATATTCGGGTTCTATGACCGGAAGACAGTCAACATGTTGACATCATTTTGTGGTGCTCTCCACGTCTGCTTTATCACCCCCAGCTTCCCCGTAGCCACTTCCAATCAGTTTGTCCTGCAGCTCAGGCCGGAACTTCAGGATGCCCTAATCAGTGTAATAGAGTATTACAAGTGGAAAAAGTTTGTGTACATCTATGATGCAGACCGAGGTAAGACAGATCTATGTTGCTTTGTGACCTTTTCATGTATGGACTCATCTTAGTATATTATTCCTAGGGAAATTTTGCCTTTATAGGTGTCTCAAGATTTCGTATGTGTCCTTATTATTAAGGTACCTACTGCTGATGTACCCATATGACAAGGCTGCATAACAAGTAAATAATATGGCACTCTTTTTACAGTTCACCGGTATACTGTCAACATAGGACAGCTTCTTACAGTTCTAATTACACAAAACACCTTTACAAAAGCCATATTATTTATATTTTATCCTCTCAGGCTGCATAACAAGCTTACAACCAAGACAGCAGGTGGAGCTCTATAATCTTCAACACGTTTGTCCAGATATTCTTACAGAGCTCAATAACTCAACTCAAACAAGTAAATAAGTCAGAAATTGACCCCAAACCTTTGTAGTTTACTTACAAAGTAAAGCTGTGGTCGGACTATGGACATTCAAGTGTTTGCATATTATTACAAAAAAAGTAAATTAGCTTTAAAATAAGCACTTACTGACCTCTGTAGCTGCAGTCACTGTGAAGCACATCATTCTCAAAATTCACAGCGACAGCACTGAAGCTGTTTAAGTCGTTCTCTTAGCAGCTCAGCTCACTGTGCTCTGTGTTTGCATTAAAGATCAGGAGGCTGACCTAAGAAATGCCAGTGCTTTCCCTCTAAAATTTGTGGATGAATTGCTCCACAGTGTCTGCAACTCAAGAGGGTATACAGGTCTTGGTATAATGCCTATCTATTGCTTGCTAAGTTAATTATATGTCCACATTAAATCAGGACAGTCAAAACAGTCAAAAACACTTTTCATGTACTATGGTTCATGTGTATTCAGTGCAAAGAGTTTTACTGCATTCTAAAAGATGTGTATATATTGAATCTTAAAAAACAATCACAAAAAGTAATAAACACGCCTTCTTCTTCCAGGTAATTTTAGCAAACAAAAAAAATACTTTATACAGAATACATTTTAGATTGTATTAAAATTCCGGTTATTTTTACAGTAAAAGATTTCAGTTACGAACCTGAATTTAGACATTTAATGAAAAATAATAAAATATTCCTGAAGAGTAAGATAATAGAGAAGATTAACACTCACTAATCTCTACACACCTATAGAGAAATGGGAGAGTCAGCAGGGTCTAAGTCACATGTGTCAAACTCAAGGCCCAGGGCACGAATCCAGCCCACCAGTCCATTTCCTAGACTTCTACCTTCAGATCTAGGTATTAAGTTATTACTAAAACCAGTGATAATCGAATGCAGAGGCAATTATGATAAAGATTAGATACATTTATATAGTCTTATAGATACGTTTGAGATCAACCAAAAAATTGATGCGGCCCACGATTAAATTGAGTTTGACACCCCTGGTCTAAGTGATTAAAATTGCATTGGAAAAGCTGGTACAGGATATTCCTGTTTCGGAACAATATACTGTCCACTGTGTCTGCAACAATATACAGTCCAAAGTCCCACTGTGCAAGAAAGGTTCAGCACTCACATCTATTGATCATTGGCTTAGTTTCTCAACGTTTCTAAATGGGCATTCTTGAAAATGGTAAAATATATAATCTGACACAATGGCCAGGAAGCTACATGGTAAATAGGAATAAGTGCCAGTTACTGGTGCTGGTTGTTGCAAATATACGTCTGAAGGCTACAAATATTCATAAGCATACTGTCAAGAGGGTTACTATTAAACAGAAGAATCTAACAGAGTTTTTCACTAAAGGGTGAAGTGTGGAGAAGCAGGAGAAGTGACCAATCTAGGACAACATAGCTGAACTGGAGAAATTCTCCAATTCAACTCACTTTACATTTCAGCTATGTTGTCCTAGATTGTTCACTTCTCCTGCTTCTCCAAAACTCTTCACCCTTTTGTGAATAGACCTGTAAGTGTTCTTGTAGAGTTGACTCAACACCGGAATGCAGTGCAATTGTGAAACTTCTATATATTTTTTTATTTTGAAAACCTTTTTGTGTATGATACAAAGAAAATGAGATATAGGTACAGTAACAATGTACAGTACAGTGTATATATCAAACATTATTCAGTCAAAACAGAGGGGTAGTAAATTATTTCTGGATTAAGTTCCATCGATCAAGAAAACATGCAAGCTTAGAAATCCATATGTGATGTAGAAAGGCAATAAGCAGACCATTACAATTTGCTTAGAATTATGTGCAGTGCGTATAAAATTAGCATACAGACCATCACATTAACCTGAGTTACACTTTTATTAGGGATTGGTTAGCTCCACGATGTTCTGATCAAAGAAAATAATTATTAAAAAAGAAGAAAGGAGGAAGGGAACTAAAGAGCAGGAGGCTGAGAGAAAGAGAACATTGCCTGCCAATGAGAGGGGGCAACCCCATTCACACACTACCAAATTATGACAACTGAATTCCAGAGGGTCTCAGTACTTGAGGAGTTGGTAATTGTAGCAATAATTACAATGTAAAAAAAGGCAAGTGGGTAATTTAGAACAATGTTTTACAAATGAACGTATATGCAACTGCAATATGAAACCTGAGCCATGGATGCCATGTGTTGCAGAAACCTTAGGGGTCTATTCACTAAGCTGCCGAGGGCAGCCGAGTGAATGACCGATCTGAAGTGAAGTGAGCCGAACACTGTGTTCGGCTCACTTCAGAAGGAGTTCGACTCAGCCGATCCAACATCTGGATCGGCTGAGCCGAACCTCCAGCAGGGGTTCTCACTGCTGTTCGGGCTATTCTTAAAGATGCCGAACAGCAGTGAGTGAATAGCCGAATGCGGCTGAGCGGATCCATCTTGTAATGGCAGTGTGAGATCTTCCATTTCACCTATATCTAATTTATCCATGTAAACCAATTCTTGACCATGGGTGAACTTTCTTGTTTCTAAAACTTTGGAACTACAACCCACACTATTTTAATCAAATGATGTAAGTTCTTATTTTCATATCGTTTAAGTGAAGTAGGAGGACTGTGGGGTCCACAGGGATCTGCATACCTGACGTTTGGGCCGTGATTGAAATGACTGTGGACCAAAACTTCTTTACCTTTGTACAAGTCCAGAATATGTGGAAGGTACCCCTGTCTTGGGTATACTGCTACCAAAGTGAGCTGGATGCTGCATTGTCTTATGAATCGGTAGAGTGTAGTACCACCGAGAGAGCATCCTATGTCCCCATTACTGCAGTCTAGTAGCAGTGGAGGCTTTATTAGCCAATATGCAGATCTGACATTGTTGATTGAATAAATGTTCATCCAGGTTCATCTCCCAACTTTTACTGAGGCAAGGGAGATCTAGGCAAGGGACATTTAGATAGATTAAGGACATTGCTCACCATTTCCTGATTTAAGCAAAGCTGCTCCACAAGTGTACGAATATTTAGCAGGTTCTGCCAATTAGGAATGGTGTTTAAAGCCCCAGAACGATGGTCCTCTCTTAGCCAAAGAAAAGATACCCAAAAAAGGAAGTTAAATCACAGAGAAAAGGAAGCCTGATTCTTAAATTTGGTTATTATCTGAATATTATTAAATGATGGTTGGGAGGTCTCTAATTAGGGGAGATAGGCTAGCAATGAGAGAAGCTTTAGGAGGCAGAGCCATAAGTTCTACTCCATGAGTATCAATAGCTTAGACTTCGTATGACCAGTCTACAGTCTACAGTACCCATTCCAGAATGGCAATATTCTGACAATATTAAGGAATTGTTTTATTTAAAAAGAGGAAGCAATATGTTAAAATTTTGGTGATTAGAGAAGGGGGGAATGTGAAGTTGGTGGGTTTTCAATGTGTCTAACTCTTCTCTATTCTCTATCCAATAACTGCCTTGCCTTTACTTACTTTTTATCATGCATAAATGTGCCTGAATGAGCTTTGTATTCAGAGGGACCTTGGAAAACCTATGTCACTATGTCAAAACTAGCTTTGATTAATCTGCACATTCTCGTCCTACAGATTACAATATATTATAAAACATACCCCTAAATCTGAACTCCTTACAGATACATAAACAAATTAAATACCTTTAAGAGAACTTTTTTATATGCCAAAAGGTTGTATTTCTGTCCATCCAGTTCTGAAATTTACATAGACCAACCCCAGAACAAGCCAGGTGGATGGCACCATTTTCTCTCCTACAGTCAGAGACTGTAGAAATAATACAACTCTTTCCTCACTCCACCCACAGCCTGACAAAAAGACAGTGAAAGGGCATCAGCAGAACAGTTAAGTAATCCCGATGCTCACTTTGCTCTCTCCATCTATTAACTGCTCATTGGCTGTATATTTGCATGCAGTACACCTGATTGACACACAGTCCTGCCCCTCCATTCTTAGTCTGTTCTGCTGTATAAGGGATTGCAAGAGGTTGACTCCAAGTCAAACTCATGTAGTTGCACTAACTAATTTAAAAAAATAAATGTAATGATTTATTAAAAAATATAGAAATGTATTAATTTGTGTCTTTTATATGTGCCTTGAATTCATCTTTAAATGCCCACAATAATTTAACCCATCCTACAAATGGAGGACACTGATTGGCCTGATTCATCTCTGTTATCAGGTTTGTCTGTTCTCCAGAAGGTGCTGGACACAGCGGCAGAGAAGAACTGGCAAGTGACAGCTGTCAACATTCTCACCACTACAGAAGAAGAATACCGTCTGCTTTTTCAGGATCTGGACAAGAGTAAAGATCGCCAGGTCGTGATAGACTGTGAGTCCGAAAGACTGAATGCCATACTCACCCAGGTAGTGTTACCATTATCCTCAAAACCAGCTCTTTATCATTTTCGTATGATGTTTAGCCAGTGTTTGCCAACATTGTGTTCCGAGCACATTACCAGGCCTTTGTGATTAATCTATATCTTTGTACCTTTAATATGTGAGTGCCGGGACTGTCGTTAAAAAGTAAACTGAATTCTGCTTGGTTTTGAAAAAAAGGTATGTGGGTGTAATTCCAGCTGAGCAGAATGAAAGGAAGTCAGGATTTTCTAAGTAGGTCAAGTTCAAAAGAGGGTTTTTCCTTAGATCACAGTAGAGGCTTCCCAGGTGGTTCTGGTCCATGGATACATGACTAGTCCTCTATTACAAAATATAAATAACTGGACTTGGCAACTGGAAAAATGAGACCTTCACATTCACAGAAATGTCAGTAAACTCTTTCATGATCATTTTTATGTACTTTTTCATTTGTGCAGTCTTGTCATATTTTTATTTGTAAAGTCTTAAGCAAAGAAGGGAAATGGGGGGCTTGATTGAAACCTTTAAATAGATTAGGGTGCGAATAAGGTTCAGGAAGAATGTATTTTTAATATGAACCTATACATTGAAGCCTGCATTCATTGGAATTTTAAGGGGTGTCCTATTCAATAAAAAATATACTGTATATCCCCACAACTGTTTGGAATCTTTTTACAATTTATTGATTATGCATAACACATATACATATTATACATAATATAAGACTACATACAGCCTGAAAACATTCTATAAATATATCATAACAACATTGTTGTGAATTATTTTTGTTTTTTAAGACTGTATGAATGAAGCCACTTAATTTATAAATACACTCTAACAATGTCGTTTTGATGCATTTCTGTTGGTGCTTTTGTGCACATCAAAGAATTGTCCTTTGATCTGGACATTATATCTGCTCAAACAAATCTACAATTGCTTGGTTTTCTATGGATTAAAGGGTGGTAACTCTAGGGCCAGTGGACAACCGATGTCACTTCTGCATCTGATACCAGCCCAGCTACTGTAACTGTGAATGTGAAAGCATGATCAATCTCGTTCTGAGGGGTGCGTGAACTTTGGCATCTTTGTCTTGTGTGCCAGGGGACTTTGTCCTGGTACAGTGTTATAGTTTCTACCTGCCTGTTGTTGTCTTAGTTGAAATTAGCTACATGTATAGACCAAGTATTAGAAATAGTTCCATGAAGCTTTGATAAATATTAACCCTTTTTTCTGCCCTTCTAGATCATCAAGCTTGAAAAGAACATTGTCGGTTATCACTACATTCTTGCCAATCTGGTAAGTAAAGTACCGGGGTTAAAAGGAATTTGCAGGGGCGTGATGCACAGTTGGAGTATTCTGTAGTCGCTTGTAGTCGCTTGTGGTACAAATAGAGCTATTGTTGATTGGAGTGCTGTGAGTGCATTACCTAGCATGCGTTGTCACAGGAACCAGCAGACAATGCTATACCACTGAGTTCTATACGCATTGGCAGCTACTGAATAATTGCTGCTTTTGTTAAAGAACACAAAAAATATTATAAAATGTGAGCTGAATTTTAAGCTCGCAATAGGTGTTTGAAGTTCACTGACTTTTTGCAAAGGCCCTAATTGCATTTCTGGGGTCCATTTATTGGCATATAATATAGTATATGAAGAGGTCACTTCTAGAATTCCTAACAAATACATAAAGGTAGAAGATAAAGAGAGTTTAATTGCCACAACATAAACTTGACGTCTCTTTGTAAAGTTATTATTTCACTGATTTATTAGCGCAGTCATTTTAAAGAGCTTTCGATTTTAGAGAAGCTTAATTTTCTATTTTAAAGAAAATAGGGAACCCTGACACTAAAACCACCTTATTAATGCACAGGAACCACCTTCACACCATAATTCAAGCACTAGTAAATCTTATGTTCCACTATTTACATCAATTTGTTAAAGGTTGGTTCACCTAAAAGTGTTTATAATTTCAGTGTTTGCTAGCTGCTAGAGAGTTAAAATAACAATTTCCATCTCTTAGGTTGAACTCGATGGACATGTGTCTTTTTTCAACTTGACTAACTATGGGGTCTATTCACAAAGCTGCCGAAGGATCTGGCCGTAGCTTCGGCCGATCCTTCGGCTGGCTTCGGCACCAGGACCCCTTCGGTTCAGGAGAACCGAGGGGGTGCTGTACGGGCTATTCACAATAGCCCGTACAGCTCCCGATCACGGCCGAGCGGCTCAGTCGAGCCGATCGCATATGCCTCGGCTCGGCTGAGCCGTGCTGAAAGCCGAAGCTGGCCGAGCGGCCGGCCATTGGCCGGCCGACAGCCTGCTTCTGACAGCTGGGCGGAGCCAGCCGTGATCTTACGGCTGGCTCCGGCCACTTTCAGAGAGATCAGCGTCCCTGGTTGCTAACCAGGGACACTGATCTCCAAACATCTAACTCTCCCTGGCGCCCCGGGAGTCTCCTGCTCCCGGCCCCAAGGAGAAAAACCCCGCTGTGTCTTTTTTCTTTATTCTGACACGGAGCGATGTCAGAATAGAGAAAAAAAAAAAAAAAAAAAATTCCCATTCAAAAGCATTGGGACATTACTATTGGCTATTTCAATTTCAATAGCCAATAGTAAACTAGCATTGTACCCGCCCTCTTTTGCAGTTCCCCATCAGGTCCATCAGCAGAGGGCGGGTACAATGCTAGTTTACTATTGGCTATTGCAAATTGAAATAGCCAATAGTAAACTCCCAATGCTTTTGAATGGGAATTCGTATTTTTTTTTTTTCTCTATTCTGACATCGCTCGTGTCAGAATAAAGAAAAAAAAAGACACAGCGGGGTTTCTCTTCTTGGTGGCCGGGAGCAGGAGACTCCCAGAGCGCCCGGAGGATTTTTTTAATTTTTTTTTTTTACAGCAGCAGAGCCGCAATAGGAAACTATTGGGCGGAGCTAGCTGTCACTGCTAGCTCCGCACAATCGTTTTCTATTAACTTTTTTCTACTTTTTTCACTCTTTTTCTGTTCTGCTCGGTGCCTCTGAGGGACCGAGCAGAACAGCCGAGCCAAATGCCGCTCGGCGGCATTCGGCTATTCTCTCACTGCTGTTCGGGATCTTTCAGAATAGCCGGAACAGCAGTGTGAAGCCTGCCGGAGGTTCGGCTCAGCCGATCCAGATGTTGGATCGGCTGAGTCGAACTCCCTCTGCACTTCAGGTCAGCCGAACATGCTAAGCATGTTCGGCTGATCCGAAGCCACACGAAGCAAGCCGATGTACGGCTGATTTCAGACGATGTACGGCTGAAATCAGCCGTACCAGCCTGAAGTGAATAGCCGAACAGTGTTTGGCTCACTTCACTTCTGATCGGTCATTCACTCGGCTGCCCTCGGCAGCTTTGTGAATAGACCCCTAAGTAACTATGTAACTGTGGAAGGTAGCAATTTTGAAGTTCATGTGATTGAATTACCACATCTGGGGGTTTGCTGTGGCAAGATTTCTAATGTATTTTATATTGTGAAGAATGTTGCAGGAGCAGTGAGAATACCCTAAAGTGTGGTGAACACCGCACCTCCATGGTTGGAGAGATCACTGGCAGTGAATGTAGACTATGGTAGCCAGATCTCATTACCAAAGCAGCCAAGTTGTTTAGCAAACCAACAGGTGACTTGTCGAGCAGACTCCAGCTTAAAGTAGATCTAAACCCAATCCCTAAAAACTCATGCATGTTTAAAAAAAATAAATATATGAAGCTATTTTTTTTGGGCAGGATAAAGTAGGGAATGGTCCTCTGTCCCAGTGAGGAAATGTACCTTTACTTGTACTGTAGGCAAAATGTTCTGTAGGCAAAACAGGAAGTGAGAGGAAAATTCTCTAAAATGTGGAGCATCCCCTCTTAGATAGCCGCCATAGAAATTGGCCTCTCAATTGGAAGATTTCCTCTCTATTCCTGTTTGATGACAACTTAAGATTTTGGATTTTCTTTGCCTTCAGTCCCAACAATCATAGTCATCAGGACAAATAGAAAGAGTAAATCCCCCAAGTGGAGATCCACACGACAATAAAAACCTGACAAGTGTAGTCTATCCAAAAACAAAATCAAGTTTTGGCTTCAGATAGAATTTACCGTAATTTCAAATGTTGTTTCAATATTTTTCAATCTACACCTTTCCTACTATGAAGTTGATCCCGCTGTGTTCAAGCATTTATTGTTATGGGGTGACTAATATGGATGAGTTTAGGGATTTTATACTCAATTTTTCACAGAAATTTAGCACGTCAGCTTTGATTAAATTATCCTCAAATTTCGCCATGCAGACTTTGCGTAGGCAAAATGTATATTAATTTTTTTATTCAAGCAAATGAGTGCTAACATGATGATCTGTGGATTTGTTGATAAACAAAGTAACACTAATCCAGGGTGCTGCATGTTGGGCCTAAAACATGTTTTAACTGCTTATAGTGCCTTGTGAATAGTCTAAAATGTCTTGTTTGGAAATTTTAGGGTTTCATGGACATTGAACTGCAGAAATTTCAAGAAGCAGGTGCCAATGTGACAGGATTTCAACTGGTTAACTACACGGACTCCAAGGTATCCCAGATATTGCAGCAATGGAAATCCTATGATGGTCGGGAACAACCTCGTGTAGACTGGAAGAAACCAAAGGTAAGCCTCTTAGATTACACAACTGCCCCATGATTCCAAGGGACATTGCAGGGACAATCTTGTGAGATGAGGCACTGTGAATATCCTGACAATATTTATCTGATGAGTTGTATTTTCACGTACATTGCTTTGCCCAAAAATAATCACCTCTACTGGTTTTAGCATGCCAGCTGGTTTGCCGAGTTTAGTCAGGTGGGGGGTAATTTGATATGCTGTTTCAGTGCTTGACGCTGTTTCCTTTCTTGTTTTTAACTTTGTTTGGAGTGTACAAAGTGTACATGCCATTCAGGTCTCCGCACAGCAGCGTGGTGTGCTGTGGTGACCTGCGGCACCATCAAGTGCAGTGCAGAAAAATGCAGCATGAATGCATTTTTGTGCACCGCACATCACACGCATATTGTGGTGTGAACAGGCAAAATGGAAAACAATTGTTTTCTATGTGACTCAGCAGTGACTTGTGTTGATCAGTTGCTGAAAAATGCCACTCACTTTTAATGGTGTGAACAAGCCCTAAAACATTGATCCCACTTATGTATCTCACTCTATCTACTAAAACAAAACAAGATAAGAGACTCCTGCTCTCACCAGGCGATAAAACAATGTATCCACAATGATTAGATAGTATCAATCCAAAAAATAGAAAAATAACAAGCACTTGGCTTTTTTACTTGTCAGTATAGAAGGACTTGATAAAATAGTAGATCCAATGCTATACCTTGATAGGAATCCTCTGTTCGATAATCAAGTTTAAACTTTGTAATACCGTTAATTATTATTATGGTTGACAACATGTGGGAGACATCCTTCACCCCATATACAATTTTTAGTAACATTACCTGCTCCAGATCCCTTCACCCCAAAGCAGGGGGTGATGACTCACTGCACATACTGTATCTGTCATAATATTTAATGCTTAAGTAAGTATATCTTCCAGTCTTATGAAACAGAAGGTCATCTCATTGCCTTTTAATACTGCACAATCGGAACTACTTTTCGGAAATATTGCCGATGTGTACAGAATGTGTCTTAGCTGGTTAAAATAAAAAAGATGGTTAAATACAGACACAAGAGAATGTTAGCTATGAACCTGATAAGCTAGGATTCATTAGGCTTCCTTAATGGAGGCTTAAAGTAAAATTTTACAAACTAGAGCTGGCTGAAGAATAAAACGGCCAAAGCAGATCATGTAGCTATAACACAGGGGTGGTCAACTCTTTCATATTGGAGACATCACATTATTTTTCTGAGGCGCTAGATGTCCTATTCACAGTTAGTGAGTTTTGCTGTGAAATATATGAGACCAAATAGCCAAAGCACTAACAACAGATTAAGCAGTCATTTGGTACTCAGAGTCAGCATGTATTTCTGTTCATAGAAGACAGTTCCGGCCAAATTAATTTGGGATTATGGAACAAATCACTCTGGAACAGTAGCTTTTGGTTCTAAGAGCCCAGTGCTTTGTGATACACTGCATTAAAAAGTGATAGAAGTGTATTATACGGTCCCTTGCGGTGCCTTGGTGGGCCATTAAAGAAAAAAATAGACTGCCTTTATCTAAACAATGAACCTTAAAATAATTTTCGGGTGTACAGATCTGTGCACACAGGAAGGGCCCATAAGATAATGTGCACCAGCAGTGCAATTCAAAGAACATCAGCACAGTATGTTAAAGTAGATGTAAATCAAACATCTAAAATCTCATATCAGCTTTAACAGCTTTTGATATAAAAGGTTCTTATTTGGGTGTCATGAGGTGGCAGTGCTCTGCCGCTGTCTCCCACAATCTCCTGCCATAAAATCGCCCTGTCACCTGCTCTCCCAAGGAAAAAATAAGCTTCTGTGCTAATGCACATTGCCCAGCAATATAACAGCATCTTTCAAAAAAAATAATTTAAAGTTGCAGCCAGCAAGCGTTAGAAAATATGCCCTGTGAAAATGCACATGCAGCTGGTTAAAAATGAAGTGCATGTGGACAGGGGCAGGCTTTGAAAATAATCAATTACAACAGCAAACAATAGGAAATATGCCCTGTGACAAAAACACATGCAGCCAGCTATGACTGCAGTACATATAAAAAGGGACAAGCTATGAAAAAAATCAGTTGCAGCCAACAAAAATAGAAAATATAGCCTGTAAAATGAAATCAGCAGAAAATAGGAAATATGCCCTGTGAAAAAACACATGCAGTTTTTTATGACTGTACGTGCATATGAAGAGGCTGTAAAGATGCTGCAGGACACACTTCAGCAGCATTAAGGTGTAAAAATCCTTCCTTTCCCCCCACCCCCAATTTCCACAAAATACACAGCATTTTTCCACCTAAAGGATATTCAGTAATGGTTTACAGTGTCTACAAGTCCTACACTAATCTGTCCCTATGCACTTTATCAGCAGCACTTTCATCCTTTTCCCTTTCATAGCTAAACTCATTGTCAAAATGTCAGCTGGGTAACCACCCCTTTTTTTAGTTAGAGGGCTGGCTTATCCATATGCTTATTTTATTGGCCCTTCTAAGCCATTTAACCAAAGTTGAAAAACCATTGGTAGTTGGCTGCTATGGCAAAGGGCAGCCACATCCACAAAGTGCAAATGGGTTTTGGCTCGCTTCACACCCACGCTTGACAAGGTTTACGTACACCTTAATACTAAGATGCAGGCTGGGTGGCATTGTCTTATAAATTATACATTTATAACTTTTTTGAAAAAACAATATTATGGAGAAATATTAGTGGTTTTCCTAGGATTCTGGAAGTCAAAGCTGCACAGTCGATAAGTTTATGTTTGATGCATTATCATAGACACTATTACCACCATGCTGAGTATAAGATATAAATAGTTCATTTTGAAACATCTGTGTAACCTGATATCTGTCATAATGGAAGAAGTCTAGCAGTTCAGATCTGATATTCTAGATGACATACATGGTTCGAAAAAGGGAAGTAAGAAAGACTGTCAAACGACATTGTAAATACTAATATAACCTGGAATCCAGCCTCCTGGGCCAAACTTTTTTTTAAATAACCCAATCTGCCATTCCTATTTCAATATTTAATTTGCTGGCCCTTTGGTAGAATATTTTGATTTATCAGGCCGTGTAATTGAAGAAGACATTGCTTGCTTAGCAATACACGCACGTTGAATCTCACAATTCTGACATTGTTCTTTAACGAATAGAGGTTATGGCTTATATTCCCAGACTGATTTCAATATCAAAGCAAGGAAGTTGGAGACACAAACTTTTTTTTTTTCAGTATATCCTTAACTTTTAATATATCATCATTATGCAAACATCCAGAATCATAACCAGAAAGGCCGCAGACTCGTTTTCTGACATGCAGTTTTTTACTGCCCTTTATTCGGGTTAGGTTTTTTTCATGGCTACTCCTACTATTTGTTAGACACAAGGAAATATCAAACAAGATGTCTCAGCACTATCAACAGAGTTAAGAAGCAAATTTAAGTAAATATAATCATAGGCAAGGCTGATTTTATCCTTAGGAACAGCAGGCCTGTGCCTATAGGTGACAGTGGGAAAGAAGCGTCTCTTCCATCACTCATTTTCTTAGTTATCAATAAAAATAAATGTTATAATATTAGCCAATTTACAGTTTACTACTATTACTTAGCAAAATCCCTGATCTCAATTATAAACTTACTATTAATAATAGCAAACTCACTTTTATCAAAATATTGATCCTCCATCTCCAAAAATTATTGATCCTCCATCTCCAAACAATATTGATCCTCCAGGTCCAAAAAATGAAAAGTTAATTTATCTTATGTTGTTAAACTTGAAAAACATTACTATTAGCAACAAAAATAAACTAAGCAAGCGAATACCTAATAGCAAAGTCTATGTAAAGGCAAAAAGTATTTCTTTTAGTTTTGGATAGATCTGTTAGACCCTCTGTCAAGTTTTTTTTACTTTTTTTTACTGCTGCCTGTCTTCCCTCTGAGGAGATTTACCTCTCTATTTGTCTCTATTTGTGACCAAGACTAAGAGTGAGGGAGGACAACTGTCTGAGATGGGAATCCCTCCTACTTTGGTAAAATCTTTCCTGTTGTGTCTCCGGGACAGAAATGAAAGGAAATTCCCCCTGTAGGGCTCAATGAAAGATAACTTAATATGCGTTTTAACCATTCCTCCCTATAACCAGAACTAAAAAAACAAAAACAGTTGGCTATGGATATATTTGAACACTTTAACGTTAAATTAAATACAATAACAGATATTAGCAGGGTTATTCACTAATGGGTGAAGAGTTTGGAGAAGGCAGGAGAAGTGAACAATCTAGGACAGTGGTTCTCAACTTGTGGGTCACGACCCCGTCGGGGGTCGAATGACGATTTGCCAAAGGTCGCCTAAAGACATGCCAACTCTCCCGGACACTCCCGCTATAAGATAGCGGCTTCCAGCCTCCCGGGAGAGAAACACTTTCTCCCGGAAAGGTTTACTCTGCTCGATCGAGCAGAGTAAACCTTTCCCTGCTCTGGTTTTTATTTTCTGACATCGAAGCCACCGGCCGCCGTCAGTCAGAAAAAAAGAAGAAAAGCATAGCTAGATTGCTATTGGCTATTTCACTTTGCAATAGCCAATAGCAAACTAGCTATTGCACCCGCCAACTGCTGTTGTCAATCAGCAGAGGGGCCCTGAAGTTCTCCATCAGGTTCCCTTCTTGTGATTGACAGCAGCAGTGGGCGGGTGTAATAGCCAGCTTGCTATTGGATATTGCAAATTGAAATAGCCAATAGGAATCTAGCTAAGCATTCCTATGCTTTTTTTTTTTTCTGACTGACGGCGGCTAGTGGCTCCGATGTCAGAAAAAAAAACAAGAGCAGGGAAAGGTTTACTCCCGTAGAGTAAACCTTTCCGGGAGAAAGTGTTTCTCTAAAGGGCGGCCGGGAGCCGCTATCTAGGGGTCGCCACAACTTGGGCATCGCAATCAAAAGGTTGTGGCACTAGAAAGGTTGAGAACCGCTGATTTAGGACAACATAGCTGAACTGGAAAGGGAGCTGAACTGGAGAATTTTTCAAAATCGGCTATGTTGTCCTAGATTGTTCACTTCTCCTGCCTTCTCCAAACTCTTCACCCTTAAGTGAATAACCCTGTAAGAGATTTTTATGTAAGTACTGATTAACTTATTAGAAGATGTAATTCACTAAATTTAAGGGTGCTGCATGAAATGTTATAATTTTAGGAATACATTTCCACCATTTTCTAAGCCAGATTGAGATGAGTAAAACTAGACGATGTTCTGTGTAAAAGATGTGATCCTAGCAGCTTTTTGGACCAGATGTTGTATGTTTTTACATGCTCCAGTAATGGAAATCTGGCCCTTACTACTTGGAAATAATCTTATATCCATTGAATATGTCTCCATTTATCATGGAAAAAAATGTGTGCCCAGTAACTATACAGATTAAATGCCTCCAATAGGCTTATTGTGAATAAGTTTTACACTGAAAAATCGATGTCTAGCTTTGCCAATATGTCATTAGATCTTGCAAAGTTTTATTGATTCAGGGGTGTTCATTTCCATTTTGCAGCCAAATTGGGATAACCCCAACTTTATATTTATTAATGTTTTATTATGTTCCTATTCACATAGCATAGGGTAAAAAAAAATTAGAAATGCTTCTTGCAGTTTACATTGCTTTTATTTGGGTTAGTGTTTCTTGGCTTCTTAAGGGTTACAACGTCTATTTGGGTTTTCCTACTTTGTAATGTTAGGAGGGGTTGTGAGGGGTTAGGGGTTTGTATTGTATGTTAATGAAGTTAATGAGAGACAGACAATCCTCAAATCCTCAGTCCTAACAGTCCTAAAGTTGGGTGTACACAGGTAACTTTTTGCACAAACGTTTGTATGAAAAATCATGTTGGAACATTCGATACTGGCATCAGAAACTTGACCATTATTATTTAAATTTCATTTCATTTTCATTTTTATTTACCATTTTGTTGTGGAATGTATAGAGTTTCCAAACGAAAAACACATTCACTGTTAGAAAAAATTCACTGTTAGAAATTTGTTTGATCGAGAAAAAATTGTCCAAAATGCTCCTTCAAATTTTTTCATCACTACAGTCAAAATTGATAATTGCTTTGACCCCATCAATGATTAGAAAGTCAAATGAACAAAATCAATTTCAACCCTGTATTCCCCGCTTAAAAGAGAACTATGGGGTAAGTGTTTTCCCCATAATTCTCTTTAGGGTCACAGGAGGATATATGCTAAACTCCTCCTGTGACCCACAGCTATTGCCCACAATATATTGAGATTGCCATATATCCTGACAATACTGACGAGATCCACCCAGCTGTATGAGTGACAGCTTACTCTGTCTATCTAGAGGCCGCCCCCTCCCCCGTTCGTTCCTCCACTCAATGCTGGAGGATCGGAGAGAGGAGGGGGGGGGACTGTCATACATAGCTATGAAAAAAACCCGATTCGTCTGACATTTGTCAGCTTAGCCTCCATTGTTTCTGGAAGATATCACATCATCCCTTTTAAATTGTGCTCATATCAGCATTTATTGCAAAAACAATAAAAATGTATCTTCCTATGTTCAAAGTGCTCTAAAGCATAAATAAATGGTGGCAGGCCATGTGAAACAAAATAGTCCTTAGCTGGCTTGTTTCTTCTACCCGCTTTCCTTTGTTACTTTGAGAAAAGATGAGAGACAGCAGACAGTGTCAGATGTTCCATGCTGTTGTCTACAGCTTGCCACCTGAAGCGAAAAGCATAACATATCTGATCCAGAATTATTTTTTTGCAATGTATGCACTTCTCTTGTGCACATAGAGCTTACCTGCAATGCAGTGTCCCAAGAAATATAGAACTCCTATCATCCCCTGACACCCCTGAGGTCTCAGACTCCAGGGTACTCATAGTGATGTTACAAAGGTTCTGCACTTCAGTGTTGTTTATCATCAATTTCAGCTTTGCAAGTCTTTAGATTTTTAAGGTGATCCGCAATAGCAACATTTGAGCTGCCCTCAGTAATGATTTCCTTCACAACCTAGCTCTGTCCCCAACCAGAGAATATTCCCCTGACCCATATGTTACACTGTTACGAAGTCTTCTGGACAGTCATGTGATGCTCTGGATCCTCTTCCTCTTTAGCGGTCTACGGTAGTGGTCAGTCCTCCAGGACCTAGAATTCTGAGGGCATCTGGTGGCTGAAAATAAATACTACAAGGGACAGCTCTGGGTTGAAGGTAAGTATTCCAGCCTGATCAGCTTTTGTATTTTTAAAACTTACTAAGAGCATATTTTATTTAAAAACATTTCCCCAGAGTTGAGCACATAAAATGTATGCACATTGCCTGTACCCAGAAACATAATTTTGATATTATCTGCAACCATCATTTGGGTCATTTGTAAAGAATATACTCCAAATAACAGGCGGGGGCCCATGAACTGAAAAGAGCCCTGGCCATTGGTTCAATTGTTCGCACTAAACCTGGGGCACCGGACAAGAGACCCAAGACGCGTGCCCCTCCCCTCGGGACAGGGTTTAGTGACACCACTGCAATGGATCTTCCCCTGCCTGACTTGTGTGCATTTCATTTAACAAATATAAAGGCATTTTGACACTGTTGGCAAACAAAGCACTGCTGTCATGTGACAGTTGTGGGTTTGGTGTTTAGTAGGAATAACAGGCACATTTTTTTAATTATTTGATCTCCCCTTTGTAGTATACCTCTGCCCTAACGTATGATGGTGTGCGTGTGATGTATGAAGCCTTCCAAAATCTGAGGAAACAAAGAATAGACATTTCTCGCCGTGGTAATGCTGGAGATTGCTTGGCCAACCCTGCTGTTCCTTGGGGGCAAGGGATCGACATCCAGAGGGCTCTGCAGCAGGTATAAAATAAACACATGTAAACACGAAATAACACATTTGAGTCGTGAAAGGTGAAAGAATTCTGTTGTGATATATAATTGAATGTTTTTTTTTATTTCATTGTTCAGAATACAGTAAGTACTAATATTTTTAAGCAAGAATTCAAAATATTTCTATATTATATATATATAAAATTAAATGGTTGTTATTTTACGTCTTTTATAAAAAGGTTCGACTGGAGGGTTTGTCTGGCAATGTTCAACACCCACTTTAAGTGATGTGTTATATAAACTTTTCAACTGTTACACTGTCACAAATGATTGCATTGTGTGGATTATAACCCCTCTGAATAATACAGAGAAGGCTTAGAGGTAGATATGGACTCTTTTTTCCATAGTTGCATAAACGATGGACTTTCACAGTGGCAAGATTTGAAAGGAAGTTCTTCTAGATTTACCCATATATTGTGTAAATAATTGTTCAATAAAGTGGACCTAAGTTATGATGTAAACCCCCTATATTTAAAATGACCCCTGGCTATCTTCTAACCTAATCCAGTCCAACAGAAGACTTTTGCCACAGCAGCTCTAGGATCTTTCCAGCTGCTGTTGTTGGTACATGGCCATATTAGTTCAATGGACTCCATCAGCCAATCAGTAGCTTTAAAGTGGACATCATCTACTCCATTATTAAATAAGGGTCACTAGCTGGAACTGTGGACCCCATTGCTAAATTTGGACCTGGGCTCTACCCCCTCCTTGGCCCCACCCCATTAAAAGGCAGAAAGGTGCTAGTGATATCCTTCACTACAGATCCATACATAAGCTTCTGAGAAATGGCACAGAAAGTGACCCATTCCCACATGCTTCCCCAGTGTTTGGTCCGGTCACAAGAACAGGGGATGCATGAGGAAGCATTATATGTCACTTAATACTAGCTCTAAGTATCACTGAACAGCTCTGTAGTAACAGGGGTGACTATTGACTCTCTACTCAACATGCTCTACATTCAGCATAAGTAGTTTTGTGCAGGGAGCAAAAGAAGGGGTCCTAAATGGGGGAAGGGGATGGTTTAAATAAGTGAAATGTACCCAAAAGTTTGAATTAGACTATCTTCCAACTTTTTTTTTGAGCAATATACACAAGGTGATAACTAGCAGAGGGTATTAGATGATATGGCAGGCAGAAGGCAAGTTCTGCAATAGCAGATAGGGGACTAGATAAAACAATGTGTGTGCATGTCGCTGAAAAGAAAAGCTGATTCTTATAATGACTGATTGTTTTTTAACAAAACTATCAATGCCCAGGGAAATGAGAGTGTAATTTTTAAAATTGATGCGGCGTAACAAATAAAGGAGGTTTGACCCAAATTCTATAGCTTTCAAATGTGTAAGCATGGAGGGGTTGTTACTACAAACTTTGTGCCTGTAGAAAAGAATTACATCATCATTCTTCTGGATATACCCATATACTGGAGAGTAACAGATGGCCAATTTCATTGTTAGCTGCACATAGAAACGCAAACATATTAATGAACAGTTTCTTCCCTCGATCTCAGCATCTCAACGAACAATGAGACATTGTCAGTAGACCTCTCAATTCACTGCCTCAGCCTGCCAATAAAAAAAACTAAATTTCCAAAGGTGTTTAACATTGACTGTTCATTCCATTGTCTTTAATCCATAGCTGTGTTCATATGTAGGAGTATCTGAAGAAAATGTTAATACACTTTAAGGGCCTATTTACATCTAAATGTGCTTTTTTTTTTTTTTAACATAAATGCAGGTTGGGCACATTGCCCAATTAATGGGCTTCCAATGCTCTGAGAGACAAGTGCATGGGAGGACTAGGTTGGGGAGCATATACCCTCCACTTCTTAAAAGATATGCTGGGCTGGTGACCCTAAGTGAAGATACTTTACCATTCAGACATCAATCAAAGCAGGGCTTGCAGTTGGTGGTCAGTGACAGCTGCTGAAAATTATACATCCATCTACTCCCTATTCAGACCTGTGATCACAGCCAGAAGGAGGTCTCTCAGCATCATCTTCCTTTGCAGCTCTGCAATACCATGTGATCAGACGCTGATTGTCGCAAAGGAAACTGATGTTGAAACATGTCTTACAACAAACTATGTCCTTTTGTGATGCTCACCTCTCACCATGCCCACCTGTCAATCTGGCACCATGATACAGTTTATGTCTGATCCTATACCCTACCATGAAAGGGCTAGTTGGTTGTATTTGACCCAAAGACTCCCAGACTTCCCTTGGTCAGATATGATGGTTTACTGTGTATGCTCCTTGGGGTTCTATTAAAAATGAATGCAGTGCTCTAAAACACGCATGCACAGTTCATTGCTGTACCATAACCAAGGCCGGATTTACACTCTCTGCTGCGCAAAGGCCAGGTTACTCATAGCCCAAAGCAGGGCTAAATGTAGAAAACAACAACTGCATGTCCCGGGCGTCGGGAGATAGGAATTCCACACCCCTGCTGCCCCTCTACTCCCCGCTGCCCCGAGGCCAGGCCTTGGTTGGCCTTGTGGGAAATCCGGCCCTGACCATAACTTAAAGCAGGTATTAGTGCGCAGTAAAACATTCACACATAGTTGTGAAGCCACCCTAACAGGCAGTCTTTATACTAGAAAAATACAATTGTAAAATAAAAAAGAATATCTCTTTAAAGTTTAAAATATAAAGCATGGCTACACTAACCATATAAAGCAGTCTGATATGATTAACCCTATTCCCAGATCCCTGATACTTTGCTAAGGCTCCTGCCTTTCAGGAAGATGGGTGGTCTTTACTTCTATGTCACCATTTTTTGGCTCTCACTTACTCACTGTCTATGACCAACAATGCCTCTAGGGTGGATGTGGTGACATGATGAATGAGGAGACACAGATCAGAGGGCCAAAAAAGCTGCAAAGTCATCAGCGGTAGCATAGCATTGTAGACCCTCAACAGGAAATAAGGGTATAACAGGAGCACTGGCAGGATCAACAAATAAATACTTTGGAATGGCAAGACTATTAATAATAGCAGGTTTATATGTTGTATAATAAAAGCCTGATCTTTATTTCAAAATATTTTGCCTGGAGTTCCACTTTAATTGTGCTCTACCTGTCACCTCTTCTTTGCCTTCCTTGACATTCTTTGGGGACATTGGTCCCTGCAAGTGGACTGTTCTCAGGATGGAGACTCAGTGCCTTCCTTATAATAGAGCCTAATATAAAGTGATTGGAAGCTGCTCACACAATAAGTCTTTCACATCGTATTAGGTTCATCTGTTCTTATGCACTCGCTTCCAGCAACACCACAGAGGCGTTACTACAGAATCCCCAATAACAATTGCTGGACATTCCCCACCTGCCACCTGTGTCCTGTTGCCAGACGGCAAAACAAAACCCGTCACACTTCCAGACAGTGCACTATTTATAGCCTTGCCGGCTTTTGGGAGGCAGGGACAGCACGTATTCTAAATATGCGCTGCATACACCTGTAAAATGCTGTTAGCAGGTATGGGTTAACCTAATAAATAATTAACTGTAAAAACCTGACTCATAATGGAAACACATCTACACAGCCACAAAGCATTAATGCAAATCAGCCTAAAGGTTAAAGAGGATCTGTCACTTTTGAAAATCCTATTAATCAATTAGGTTGATGCAAATTCTGACATTTTCAAATACTGTATGCTGTATTTGCTAGTAATGGCTGTTTTCAAAGCTACCTTTTTTTTATAGAAAGAGTTGGCCTGACTTTTTGCAAATTGGCAAGGGTATAACCACAGCCAAAGAAGTGAAAGTGTGTGTTTACATGGCTTCCCTGTTTTATTACCCACTCCACTGTCAAACGTAATGTAGTGGGGCAGTTCTTTTCCCCTCTCCTTCCCTCCTTTTTAGGGCAAGCAGCTAAGTCTAAATAAATTTAAACCTTGGACAAAATAACAAATAACATATATGCTGCAGTCTGTCTCTAGCATTAACGCAGCAGTCCAACCTGTAACATAGTTTTATCACCTGTTGATCCTGACAATAAATCCATTATTTGTCCAGTAAGAGGCCGAGCTATCCAGAAAACAGGGGCAGTTGAAGGGGCTGGGACAAACCATTATAACATTACCGGTGGTGCTTACAACAATCAGTCTCTATTCATATGGTGTATGTAACCATATGTACTGTATAAAACGTGTTAACTGAAGTTGAGCTTTAACTTGATTGTATTCTACTTAAAGTCCTTTTAAAACCTAAAAATATTTAAACTTCCCTGAAGTTCATCTCAAAACTCATTATGAAATCTCAGCCTTTGTTATTGCTGGCTACCAGATTACAGGTAAAGTTCTGTGTTCTCGCAGTTAACACCTTCCATCACGACATAGGATCTACCATCCTAAGGAGCATATCCTCCATATAGACTTTATACTTATTTTATAACATGTGATTGCAAGAAAGGTGTATTTTTTTGCTGTATTTAAATACACCTCTATCTGCTCCCAAATATACATGAAAGGCACGCAGCGACCCGCTGAAAACAGGGTCACGACCCATTTTCGGGTCACGACCCACCAGTTGAGAACCAAGTCCTTACTTAGATGATCTTGCACTGCAGAATTATTAGGCTCTAGGCACCGTTAAATGTCAAGAAGTAAACTGGTATCTTTCAAGAAAAAAGATAACATTTTCAGGGTACTGCTTAAGCACAATTAACATGTTTAGAAGTTTCCTATTAGATAGAGAATATTTACTAGTTCAGGTCTACTTCTATTAACTGAGATAGTGTATTCAAGATCAATACCATCAAAAAAGGTGTGGACTGTCTGCAAAATGTTCCCAAATATGAAGTCTAAATTCTTTGTAATAGCCCTTGGCAGGTGAAAGTTGCTGTCATTTTCCAGCAATCTGAAATCCTTTTTTTGTATAAGACGCCCACATCTAACATTCTGCCATTACACCACAGTAAACCAGCATAGATTTATGACTCACTACTATGAATTAGTGGCACAGACTTTTCATCCCCACCTGTACAGGAAATTCTAGTCTTAGAACACAGTAATAAGTAGCAAACTTGAAAAAGAATATAATGCTTAATGGACCAGAACAAAATGGAGAGAAATGTTCATTGATAATAACATATCTTTTCTAATTAACAGATTGCTACATGGAATGAAGATGACAAATTGATCCCATTAGCCACTGATGCCCAAGCAGCAAATGAAACCATAGGGGTTCAGAACAGGACGTACTTCGTTACCACCATATTGGTATGTATAATGGTTTAGCATTTAGAATGGTTTTTGCTACTCTGTATTTTTACTAGCAAAGATTGAGATTGTCTGCAGTCTTCCTGCTTTGTCTACGAACCACATTCAATAAATTTTCATTTTTATTCATAAGTGTTTTAAATTGTATTAAACAGAGGTTCGGAATCCACACATAGAAAACGTTTGGTGCTCCCCCCTTATTAAATGGAATGTATAGTAGTTTTAGTCCTTTATTGGTAAATATTTTCATTATTTATTTATGATGGTACGGACTAAAAACATTTTTAGTTAAGCAATACGAAATACTTCATATGAATATTATCAAGGTTATTCACAAAAGGGTGAAGAGTTTTGAGAAGGCAGGAGAAGTGAACAATCTAGGACAACATAGCTGAGCTGGAAAGAGAGCTTAATTCGAGAATTTTTCCAAATCAGCGATTTTGCCTTAGATTGTTCACTTCTCCTGCCTCCTCCAAACTCTTCACCCTTTTGTGAATAACCTTGTATGTGTTCTTATATCTAGCCAGCAGGTTTCTCCTTACCTCCTGTTGTTGTGCCTGTTGTTGACAGAACTCCCTCAAGCTAAATTTTTCACACACAAGTACCAGGCATCTACCCCTGACAATTTCCTCTGACTCCTTTCTCTGACTTCCTTTCTCTCCATACAGCTCTTCCAAAGATTGAATCAGGGACAGAGAGCCTGAAAGGATACATGTTCCTGTGTAATAGCTCTTTAGGTTTGGACAGGGCTGGTTTGCAGGATCTTGTAGACACAAACTCCAGACCACTTTTCTAGGATTATAACCCCTTAAACAGAACAATTCTTAATTTACTGGTATTAATCTGCCTTAGTGTATTGTAACAGTTCATAAATAAGCTTATGTGAAATTACTATATTTCTGTTTATCATGGGGAAAAACATTTATGGGCAAAAACTATAAAAGGTAACTTAAAAAAATATCGGCCCCAGAGTTCTCACAATATTGTGCGATTTGATAGCCATGACCCCCCCCCCTTGCCACTCCAACTCCAATGCTGACACCTTCTCCCCATCTTCCCCTGGGTCTTGACTCCGAAGTCATCTTGATTGGCTGGCCAGGTATGACATAACTCCTGTGCAATTGCATGTGAGTTACTTTGTTCAGGTACCCATGGCATGTCAAGATTGTATAATTAGTACTGCCTAGCTCAGTGTAAAAATAGAAAATAAATACTTGCAGGCAGAGAAGAAGTATTTCTGGCAGAAGAGAAATACAGGATATGCCCCGAATGACTATCTGCTAACATTAAAGGAGAACTATGGGGTCAGTGTTTTTCCCCATAGTTCTCCGTAGGGTAACGGGAGGACACAAACTAGCGTCCTCCCGTTACCCTAAGCTCAGTACACCGCGAGATACAGCTTGCGGTATACTGAGACGCCGCACCTGGAGCGGATCCCGACTTAGATGACGGGATCCGCCCAGCTGCGTGAGTGACAGCTGGCTCTGCCTACCTAGAGGCAGAGCCAGCTGTACCCGCCCCCTCCCCCGTCCGTTCCGCCAGTCAGCGCTGGCAGATCGGAGCGGGGAGAGGGGAATCCAGCCCCTCCCCCTGTCACGGCAGAGAGCCGTGACAGGATCGAGAGGTGAGGGAACCCGGCATGTTTTCCCTCACCTCCCGATCTACTGAGCCGAACTGTGACAGTCTCATTGTCACAGGTCGGCTTAGAACTATGAGGTGAGTGGAAAGCACTCATGTCATAGTTCTCCTTTAAGATAAAAAGAAAAAAACAAAGACAAAATTGACTCAAAGACATTATAGTTTCACTTTAAGATGGTCAGATGGTAGTGCTGCTGTGTTCTGGAAGAGGTAATTGTGTTGCTTTTATAGACAGAAGAGCTGATGGCACTGCTCTGTTGGATATGAGAGTCAATAGTACTGTTCAGATAATAGAAACAATGATATTGCTCTGTTGCGGAGTAGAGTTAATGTTACTGCTTTGTCTTGGATTACATGTCATCTTTGAGCTTGCAGAAAGTAAGAGGAAACCTCTTCAGTTTACAGACACTATACATCACATGACAACATTGACCCTTCATAGTTCTATCCACAGGAAAAAAACCTTTTGGGTAGTGTTGGGCTTTACGTATTTACCAAATTTATTACCATCTTAGAGAACCAGCTGATGGCACTGATGTATTGTATAGGAGAGATCATGACACTGTTCTGTTGGAGAAGAGTACCAATGGTACCAATAATGTGCTGCAAGTGTATGAGCTAATGGCATTGCTCAGTGAAGAGACTATAGTTATTATAACCTCCAAAATCATTAGTGGTCTTGGTCAATGGACTCTGGATCGATGGGTAAAGGCAGCTTGCTTCCAGGTGCATTCTGTTTGAAGTTGAGGTAAGTTTGAGACACTTTTAAGATCAACCACAATTCACTGACAGGTGCATTTGACCTGCAGGGGACCTTGTTCTAAGCTGCATCAACCTGCTGTGCACTGCTTTTGCAATCCCATTGAGAAGCAGTTCTAATGAAACCAATACCCCATAGACACACGCCCTAATAAATATGATATCTTTTAAACGGTTTTGATTATGTTTTCTTTCTATCTGCAGAGGAGTCACTTAGAAACAGCAGCCATAAGCAATCTCTCTCTTCAGTAAATATTTTTAACAGTTTCCTTTGTGGCAAAAGTATGATGAACTGTGTACTGCTTATTAGGAAGGACTAATAAGAAGAAAACAGCTTTATAGATGACATGTACCCTCGCTATGCATTGCTGTAGGTACTATATGTACTGCACTGAGGGAGGACTTCCCACCTTCTAAGGGCTGTTATTTGTGAAAACAAGAGTTTCCCGGGAAACAGTTAATTCCTTTACTTGTTCAGCATCCCTGGCCTGCCAATCATACACCCACAAGGGAAAGATCTATGAAAACTGTGCTTAAAAGAATCCTGTCTGTACAACCCCATGACTTCCACTTAAAGGCTATATTGTTCATACACTAATGTAGTCCATTTTTGCAATAGGGATTGATTTTGTGAGCCAGCTCCTTCCAGTTTTGCAGTTCGTGAAATGAAAGAATAAAATGCCATTATAGATCAGTTCCATGGCAGAAGCTATATCAGAAATATCATGGGATAGAGGGTTTTTACATTTTAATGAAGTAAATGTATTCCATAATTAACATCAACAATACATGCTCTGTACCATACACAGTGGCGAACATAGGGCCCTGGTGCAAGATTCCACCCCCCCCCCCCAAATAAAAGCATTGGTGTACAAAGTACTGCTGAGATTTGTAGTCCTCTATAGAGGCACCTGCTATATAAGGGCACCTGCTATAGAGCACTACAAATACCAGCAGTACTTTATACAGCATGTCCACAGTTACATGGCTACAAATAATAATAATTTTAATTAATTATTTACCTTCACCTATGGCTGGTCTTCAATTGTTTCCTGGTGGGGAAGGCTGCAGAAAAACACTTGTGTCTGTGGGAGACAGCGCGCCCGTATGCTCAGGACCCCAAACCCCCAGCTGATCCACAGAAAGGCAAATACCCTTATAAAACATGGTCCAATTTGCTTGAACAGGGAAAAATGTTCTTCCTGGTCCCCAAAGGCAAATTAATATTATTATTGGCATTTATATAGCGCCGACAATTCACACAGTGCTGTACACAGTGCACATTTACATCAGTCCCTGTAATCAAGGAGCTTACAACCTAAGGTCCCCATCTCACATACATATGAGGGCCAATTTAGACAGGAGCCAATTAACCTACCAGCATGTCTTTGGAGTGTGGGAGGAAACTGAAGTACCTGGAGGAAACTTGTGCAAGCACAGGGAGAACATGCAAACTCCTTGTAGATAGTGACCTGATTTGAACCAGAGACTCCCAGTGCTACAACGGAGTAACGCTAACCACTATGTCACTGTGCTGCACCAGATACTCCCTGGATCAACATTACTACTTATCATTTTTAACAGCCAGTTATATGTATTTGTGTATCTGAAGCACACTCTGTTTTTTTCCATGCAATCTACTTGTCAAGGTGGGTACGTACTGCACTGGTGTGGACCTTCCAGCTACACTGTATAGAATAGCCAATGTGAGAGGGTAGGCTTACCAGAGAAGTGTAGGTTTACAGCCATTTTATAATAGAGCTAGATGGTGTGGCCCTATCGATTCTCTGTTTAAACTCATTGCAGATTCTGCTCACTAGATGGTTAGCAGCTAGATGGTTTGGATAACCAAATTTTTTTTAAATTTGCCTTGAGTTCAGCTTCAGTGGTGCATTTGATAACTTGGCTCCAGCTACCCAAATATGTCCAGCATGCAGTAAAAACACCAAAGGAGACATAAGCTGGCCATGCATGCTACAAAATCCATTGACAGCATGGATGGAGGAAAGCCTGCTGCCAACTATTGTATTCAGCAGTCACTACTCCAGCAGCTGGGGAATACCTGGACAGTGCCTGCATCTGATTGGGTGCAGCCACTGTTCAGATGAGAATTTTCTGATCAGTTTGTCACAAGAAGCCTGCTTTATTATTGTTTACCGTGCTTTTTGTGTCTTGGTATATCCCAATATTGGCCCCTATGGTTTTGTGTAAATTGATAGAGCCCAGCCTCTCCTTCCCCATTACTTTTCACTTTCGCCGTCAATATGTTAAGAGGGTTCTATACATGGTATTACAAGGCTTCCAGAAAGAAATATCTTTACACCTCTAAGAATGACAAGGAGTTTCATCCTTTGCATTGACAAGCCTGCATAAACTGCACTGGTTCTTCTCTACGTCTTCTTGGTAAGTTGGACCCTGCCTGTAGTTTCTACCATCTCAGCAGGTTGCCATACTATCTGTACAGAGTTTCAAGAAGTATGTTCAAATGCATACTTTTGTTGAACAGGAGTGGGGCAGGGGCTTCTCGTTGGGGGTGGATCGCCAACATGGCCACCCATGATTCAAATTTTGCCGATTCCTGCTGTGGATGGGCAGCTTAAAGCGATCTTAAAGTCAAAATGTTTTTAAGCTATTTCAAATGTTGATTGAATCACTTACAGTGGATGCTGCTTCTTGATGTTTAAAAGTTTTAGCTTCTTGCAGAATCAGCTGGTCCCCTGAGCACTGGCCCTGTTTTAGGGTAGCTTATTTCCCTTGCAAGGTCCTATGGAGCCACCCTTGTGAGTGCTAGTAAGCTGTGTGTGTCTCCTCAAACACACAGGCACAGCAAGGCAAGCCAATCCACTGCTCCTTGATCTGTGCTCCTCCGTCCTCCCTCCTCCATGTTAGTACATGGAGAGCTGCTGTAGACTGTGATGTTTCTTGTGATCTTGTACTGGTCAGGAAGATTAAGGAAACTGAGCTGAGAGAGCTAGAGGCAGAAACATGATGGCTGTAAGTGCTTGGGAAAACAAAAAAGAAATACATTGCTGGGTAATGTATATTTGTTTGATCTGGATTCATTATTGAAAAAAAGTTTGAGCGTTTATTACTACTTTAAGCAAGTGCCGGATGGGTAGGAGCGGGTAATACTGATGTCACCAGTTTATTTATATCATCTGGCAAATAGTTAATGACTTCAGAAAACGCAAGGGATCTCTTCCTGCAATAAAAGAGGAAAGTGAAAAATGATTTGCTGTTACACAGAAAAGCCTTAAATAAAAATGATTTATGAAACAAGTTCTGAAAACAGTTTTGTCCTATGATACATTGATGAATCAGATTTAGAAATCTATACATGTCGCAAATATATAAATTCACTGCAGACAGCTTGGAGCAAATCTTCAGCGTAAGTAACTGTAGAGGTGTGATAACATCACAGTCAAGGCTGTGTTTGGACACCATGCTGCTCCAGTTTGATATCAAGTTCTTCCTTGATTTTTTATAAACCAGATTTGTCTATGCCTCGCTCCCCAGACCCCCCTCAGTACCCGACAGCAGTCCATGACTAAGCCTTTATTTAATTCAGATTGGTTGGTTTCTCAAGCAAAGAAAATTGCTTGGAATTTTAATATATAGTTTACAAGGCATGGCTTAGGAACAGACTGCAATCTGACAACTGAGGCAGTTACCATAAAAATTACTTTATTCATGAGCTAGTGTGAATCCTGTGGGTTGTTGTGCCTCGGTTACCTCTGTTTTAATAAAACAGCAAACATCATGTAAGTCTATACAAATGCTGCTCTTAAAGTGTTTGTATACCCAAAACTTTGGTTTTCTGGTTTTGTAAAGAACGTGGAAGGATTCAAACCCATCTCAGGTTTTTATTGCTGTCTGTGTGCCCACTGGTAAGATGCACCCTCTCTATTTGCCCTGGTGACCATTGCCAAGAGGACAGAAACTGATTGAAAATTCAAATTTTTACAGTTGTCACCAGAACAGGAGGAAGGGAAAATCTAGCAATGGGGAAACTTGTTCCAGTGACAACTGTCGAAGAGAGGAATTTCCCCTCGCTTTGAAGATATTTCCTTTTACTTAAAGTAGTATTAAACTCTCAAACTTTTTGTATAATTAATCCACATTATTATTATTATATAGGATTTATAGAGCGCCAACAGTTTGCGCCGCGCTTTACAATATAAGGAAGACATTACAATCACAATACAATGCAAGACAAGATGGTAAGGAGGGCCGTGCCCCTGAGGGCTTACAATCTAAAAGGGAGGGAGAAGTGATACATGAGGAGGTAGCTGTGTGGGGATGAATTGTTTGAGAACATGATGGTTTAGTGGTTAGGTTGAGGTCGGATAAGCTTCCCTGAAGAGATGAGTCTTAAGGGATCGCCTAAAGGCAGTCAAGGTGGGAGATAGACTGACAGGTTGGGGTAAGGAGTTCCAGAGGATGGGAGAGACTCTAGAGAAGTCCTGGAGGCGAGTATAGGAAGAGTTGACAAGGGAGCTGGAAAGCAGGAGGTCTTGGGATGAGCGTAGTGGACGGTTAGGGTGATATTTTGAGACAAGGTTTGAGATAAACAAATAACATTGCCCAGCAAAGTATTACTTTATATTTTAGTCCAACTACTTACAGTGATCATGTGTCCAAACAGCTGGCTCCGAGGCATCCCAAGGCCAGGTGTCACCTGGTGCGGGTACCGTGTGACACCACGCTGTGACGTCATCGCACATGCGCGTGACATCAACACTCCCGTGCACAATGACATTGGCGCGCATGCGCTGCCATTTTGCTGATACCTGCCAGCGGCCATCTTGGCAATGGAGAGAGGAGGGGACATTGGCCCGGTGGGATAAGGTATGCCGCCAGATCCCCTCCTCTTTTGTGCAACTGTCGGGCTCTCCATCCATGACCAAGTGCCCAACTTTTCAGAGGGGACTGACACCAAAATGACTGTCAGTAATCTTGATGTCACCCCCCCCCCCCAATGGTGTCACTCGAGTGCGGGCCGCACCCCCCTAGTGACACCACTGGCTGGCTCCCACTCTCTCAGCTCAGCTTCCCTGAACTTCCTGTCCAGTACAGGATCATAATGGACAGCACAGTCTCCATACAGACTCAACATATATCGTTGTGTACTGTTTCTCGTTGTAGAGATGTAAATTCCCAACTGGACACAAGCAAAAAAAATAATAATAATAAACATACTGGACTTTTAACTCTTCCCTACTCTATCCAAAGTTAGCTCCAACATTTTTGGCTATACATATCCTTTAAAGTGACATTAAACTCTCAGATTTTTTAACATAAAACAATACTGTAATGTGCGTCTTACTGTAATCCATGGTTATTTCCCTTCTCTTTGCTGCTCTTCCTTTTAAATTTGTATCTGTTCTCATGCTGGGCAGAACTTCTGTTTTGCAGCAGACTGCCTTGTCTCAGGAATGGATACACGGTGTCTGTGTATAAGATTGCATAGGGTTGAAACCTGAGCCAGCACTACAGGAAGAGGCCCTGAGCTGAAAAGGGAAGTTCTACCCAAGCATGAGAAGACATGAGGATTTAAAAGGAAGAGCAGCAAAGAGAAGGGAAACAACCATACAGTAAGGCACACATTACAGTATTGGTTTATGTTAAAAAATCTGAGGGTTAAGGTCACTTTAAGTTGATGCACATGGTACAGTCTAATTGTACAATGTCTATACAATATCCTTCAGATTTACCAAACCTATGTAGTGCAAAGCCCTACATGAACAATTAATACAATGTATATCAAATTAGGATAATAAAAACTTCCTGTACCCTCCCTGATTCTTGTTCAGTTGTGTCTCACACACTCCCCCTCCCAGACACTGCACCTCACAGTGGGAGGGTTTTATCAACGGTGGCAGTACTGTCAATCCAGAAAGTGAGCAGGACTAAGTGTGGCCAAGTGCCTATTGACAAACTATAGGCTTATGAATCAGTAGTGAGAATGCTGATAGCCCCAACCTCTGCAACATGTATTATCCTGGTGTAATGCAAGCAGGCACAGCCTACATAAGAGTGGAAACTCTGCTCTGAAATCAGTAGCAGTGTAACATTGATGCCACACTATCACAGGTAGCTGCATTAGGTGGACTTTACTGGCAGGATCAACAAGCATTTGTGGGACTTTGCAAGGTGACTAAGAGAAAACTTTAAGTGCAGAGGCATTTTTTTTTAAAGGAGACCATATTTTGATTGCTGTCAAATTGTTATCTGGAAGGTTTTTTGTTGCAGAAGACATGCTATATCTCATCTGCAATAAAACATTTTGCCTGCCTGCTTGCAAACATTTTTAGATTGCGCACAAAGCTGTGCATGCACATGAACTCCCACAATCGTCCATGCCAGCCAGTCAAGATGGCTAAGGATGTGGACCTGGAAGAAGACTGAGCAAAAATGTTAATGCAGATAAGCAAGCTCACAGACGTTGCATTGTTGGAGCGGAGGTAAGTTTAGATCCCCTTTAAATTCCTTATTTAGAAAGTATAAATGCCAATATCCATTTCCTTTAACCATGTTTTATTAGGGTGCTGCTACAGCAAGCTGGATAGCAACCGATCAGATTTGAGTTCACTGTAGTCAGTTCTGGTAAAGTTGAATACTGAATGTTAAGGTTATTAATCTTTGGATGCTTCTTTGGTCTTTTTCAATAGGAATGATTCAATTGTTTTTTCTTCCATTTTTAGGAATCTCCCTATGTTATGTACAAAAAGAATGCTGATGAATTTGAAGGCAATGATAAGTTTGAGGGGTACTGCGTCGAGCTGGCTCAGGAAATCGCCAAGCATGTTGGATTTAAGTACAAACTGGAGATTGTAAGGGATGGGAAATATGGAGCTCGTGATTCAGACATGAAGGCATGGAATGGAATGGTGGGGGAGTTGGTGTATGGGGTATGTATATAACAGTTATGCTATGGTGTTTACTGAGTGCATTTTATGGCTTTATTATCTCAGTTATTATATTAATGGTCATGCTGACATAAAGAAAAGCCAATATGACCTGATCTCTCAGCAACATGATAACATGGATATTTTATTCATTGTCAAGGACATTACACTTTCCATCATGACCTGCTTGTTCAATAAAAATCATAATTCCATTACACTTTATACAAGCATGAGACAATACACCTGACCACTGAACACAGTTTTAGTACAGTGGGAAGATATAAAACACATTACATCCCCAGCATGGCCTGATCTTTAGATACCTATTGGTCAGAAACGGACGGACATTTGTCCGTTCACATTAGATTACCCCTGGTCCGGCACGATCCAGTCCGTCAAAACGGATCAATGATCTGTCTGTTTTACTGGACCCAGCCGGAGCCAGTTACACGCGGCTGCCCATAGACTTGCATAGAGCGTCCGATCGGGTACGATTGAAAAACTGACAGACGGACCTGATCGGGCCACTCATGTGAAAGGAGCCTTACAGCTTATATGTACTGAATGTTTTTTTTAATTATTCATGTCTGATGCACCTACAACCACAATTACACAAACCAGTAGATCCATAATTGATAAAATGAGGTCTATGGCTGCATGTGCACTTGGGCGCATAGGTTCCATTTGCAGAGTTAATGAGGCCAAATACACTTTCACCTAACATCAAATGGTGCAATAACTCTGACCATGTCCAGATATATATATATGTCTTTCTGGCAGTTTCCCTTTGATGGTTCTGCATCAGTATCACCTTTGCTGACATTTGTGATAAAATGCTTCCATCTGTGTGTTCACCTTATGCAAGATTGATATTGATAGTGTAGCACTGTGTATATATAATAATAGATGTCAGGGCCAAGTTAGCTTATACATCACTGCTGAAATCAGAACTGGCAAATATATTCAGCTGTTAAAGTGAACTTGTCAGCGATGAAAAACTGAGACAAAACAAGTTGGCAACCTAGAGACACCACAGAGGCATAGAATATGAATACTTCCATTATGGTAATTGGCCTGGTTGCTTTTTCATATCAGGAGCATAGGTATACTTTGGGTAGCAATGCTCCTTTTTCTTCACAGTGTCTCAGAGGACTTTTTTTATGTTTTGGTCAAAGTAGAGGGATGTTGGAATCCCTGTCATATCTTTATTGCCTTTTGGGTCCCCAAAATTATTATTATACAGGATTTATATCCTGTATAATAATAAAATGAGATGCACCGTCCTTTTTTTTGTCGTGGTGACCACTGTCACTGGACCCGAATGTAAGGGAAAATCCAAAATTTTGAGTTGTTAAGAGAACAGAAATAGAGGTGAAATCCCCCAATGACAACAGTTGTTCTGGTGACGACTGTCTATGAAGAGGAATGCCTCACCTTGGAGAGGTTTTCTTGTTTTCAACCACACAAGAAAACTCTGTGAACTCAGAACTCAACTCAATGCAGATAGTGTCCCAACTGGTAGCCACATGCAGAAGCCCTTTGAAGTAAGGTGAACGTGCTAAAACCGCTCAGCTACTGTGACACCAGGTATTAGCGGAGCCAGAGCGAAAAATTTAGTTAGGTGAAACTGAACTTCACATATATTCAAAAATAAATAATGTACATCTGAGTAGTTAGGTAATGTTAAACCCATGTCACATCTTGGTCCCATTCAAAAGGTTTCTCCAAAATTAGTTAAATCTCCTCTTAGGCGGTTCTCACCAAAACAAGATTTTCCCTCTATTCTTGTTCATGTAACAACTCAAAAGTACTGGTTATGATGGTCACTGGGTCCTCATTTGGACAATAACAACTTGACAGATGTTCTACCCCTTCCTCAGTCTATCCTAAACAAAAAAAAAAGGTTATGGCTTGAGATACACTTTAAAACAGCCTACACTGAAAGTTTGTGTGAACTGGTTAACCAAACTGGAACTTCTTGTTCTACATTGTTGTTAGACATGTTACATAAACAGCACAGGGTTTGCTTGAAGCCTAGAACGTATCATTACCATAGAGTACCCCTATGTAACGGCAACCGCCGTCACCGCTACCCTGGGAAGAGGGGGGCACAGGTTTCTGCCTCACGGGACGGGCCGTCTGCGTTCCGGGGTGCGCGCGTATCTGCTTCCGGGTTCGGACGGCAGGGGGGGGTTCCACCGTGGCACGCGGAAGTGCTTCGTCTCGTTCGGCGGCTCCTCCCCCCGCCTCTTAGCCCTATATAAACGCCCCAGTGAGACAGTATGGTGTTCCAATATTGAAGACTGAACGCCTGCTGTCTCAAACTAGTCCGGGAGTTCCATCGTAGATACCCAGATCGGCCTTCTCCGACAAGGAACCCCGGAGGTGTTCCCTTGAGGAGGGGGTTCTGTAACGGCAACCGCCGTCACCGCTACCCTGGGAAGAGGGGGGCACAGGTTTCTGCCTCACGGGACGGGCCGTCTGCGTTCCGGGGTGCGCGCGCATCTGCTTCCGGGTTCGGACGGCGGGTGCGTTCCACCGTGGCACGCGGAAGGGCTTCGTCTCGTTCGGCGGCTCCTCCCCCCGCCTCTTAGCCCTATATAAACGCCCCAGTGAGACAGTATGGCGTTCCAATATTGAAGACTGAACGCCTGCTGTCTCCTGGGACCCCCCATACCATCCAATACTGCTACCTTCTACAGAGGACATATAACGGACTCCACTTGGACCCCCAGCTCCTTCTGCTACTCCATTGAAATCACAAGTACCCTGGCATATTGCTCACCATTGAGTTAAACTAACTGTGTGTACAGAGAAGCTCGATTAGCTTGCATGCTCCATCTAGTGGTCTTTTTGGAGAATACACCTTTACCTCTAAACCATAGCTGTTATCTATCCTAACCTAATTGACAACCTGAACCTTTACAATTTTTGTTACTGTTACATGTGATTGGGGTTATGCAGTAATAATCCCATCCAACTCCCCGTTAAGATTGGGAGTGAAACCAGGGTTCCGTCTGATTGGCCTCCGCAGTTGTGATCCACAAAACCCCAACCTCACACCAGGTGTTACACCCTACAGCAGAGAGTCGGTTAAACTAATTTCTCCAGACTCCTAAAGCTTCATTTTGATTTTCCTATGAGCAGATTCCCAACAGAAGACTGTGAATGGAAAGGGAATATCAATGTGTTATTTATTCATTCAGTTTACACAACGAATTGGAGTTTATACAGCAAAGCCTGACTGATTACTATCTCCATTCCCAAAGTCTGCTCAGCACATCCCTCCCTTTTCTCTCCAGTTTTTTTCTTTCTTTGTCCCCCTACGGCTATGGACATGTTCTTGCTTCGCCTCCCTCGATGGGAGCTGGTAACCATGGCAACCCCTGAATGGTTCCTGGGTTGCGGCCTGCAGCCATTTTGGTAACCTTTCCCATTCTCACATGTTCTGTCTCAGTGGGTGCAGAATTTCAGCACTTGTCTTTGACAGTGAGCCTTAAGGCTAATATAGTGTCTTCTCCTTGTGAATCCCTGCAATGCTTAGCTTGCCCTTTGGTTTACGCATATAAATGGGTTTAATTATTCTAAATTATTAGGAATTATTAAATCTCAAATGTCTCTTTACTGCAAAAAAAATCTGCCTGTTTTGACATGATGGGTCATACTTAGTTAAATTCAGAGGGAATTGCAAAATAGTCTACTTAATAAAAAGCTTGAACCGTAAAGCTCAACTCCAGACATTTTTTTTTTTAGTTTTGAATACAGAGAGAACAGGTTAGAACCTCTGGCAGCTATTAAGCGCTGTGTGTGTTCCATTGAGAAGATTTTTCTATCAATTTTATCAAGTTAAACGCGATGGAATATATATTAAGGAGCTGTTTTACCTGCCAGAGGATTTATTATTCCTGTCCATCCAGTCTTGAGAGTTACACAGCTTTATCACAGTGTACAGCCCTGTCAGACAAGGCTGCTAACAGAAGTCCTGATATTTCTCTGCTGCAGTTAAGTAATACTTACAGATCTTGTCCCTTCCTTAGCCTGTGACAGGACAGTGAAATGAAACGCAGCAGACTGATGGGCTAAATTCTATGTAACTCTGCTCTCTCCAATCAGCATGCACCATGCTCCAGTTGTGCACAGCAACACAACTGATGGGCTCTTTGTTCTGCTTTTCCCTCCCCTAGTATGATCTCGACTGTTGAGGGGCTGTAGCTGGACTACAAGAGGCTGGTACCAAGTCAATTTCTGGAAGTTAAAAAAAAGCAGCCCTGGCTGCAGTGCTAACAGTCTAGAACTGGCCCTGAGTAGTACTTCTTGTTCACCACAAGATGTCCTCAGTCTTCAGAGTTTGACAACATCCCAAATTTGTGTTGGGCTCGATGTTCGAGCCGAACGTGAGTTCGACTCGAACATCGCTAGTTCGTGTGTTCGCCGAACACACAAACTATCAGGGCGTTCGGCGGGCTGTTTGCCCGCTGAACGCCCCACGAGGCAATAATGGCTAAAGGCTTGCACCTGATCACAGGTCAGGACACAGAGAATTGTGAGAGCCATGATTGGGCTGCCCAATCATGACTCACCTGTTACAACGGTAAACAGTTGGGTGGAGCTAGCTGTCACTGCTAGGTCCGGCCAATTGTTTATACGTTGCCGGCATCTGTTCGTCGAGGCGGACGGGACGGCGGTCGTTGTTTTAAAAAAAAATATTTCTATTTATTTTTTATTGTTTTATTTTTTATTTTGCCGAGTCGTCATCGCCATGGACAACGCTGGACGTTGTGTTTGACCCTGGATTTTTAATTGACCCTTTTTAAAAAAAAATAAAGAACTTAAGGTCAAAAATCCTTTTATGTTTTTTTTTTTTCAAATAAAGAATTTTTGATGAAAGTCTGGTGTTATTTAATCTTTTTTTTAGGTCCCTCCTAAATTTTCCTACCAGACTTTTTTTTTTTAAATGGGGTCCCTCCTAACATACCTACCAGACCTAAAGAGTCTGGTACTGT